CGTACACGAGCACACGCACCCCTGCACATATCCGCAAGCACAACAGGAAGCTCTAACTTGCGGCACGGAATGAAAATCGACGGAACTGCCAAGTCGGAAGACCTTCCTTCTTCGGGCTAAAACCGTTATCAATGTTTACACGTTTATCCGCAATTTCGCAAGAAATAATTGCAGAAAAAGTACTTGCACCTACGGCGTAACAGGGCTCGCCAAAACCGTTTCATTTTTAATTCGTATTTTATTTATGCATACAAGAAGTGGTTCACACGTGTGATAGAAGGAATCGATTTTATTACTTTTGTGGGGGGTAAGTACCACTCGTCTGTTTTATTTAAATTTAGTATTTTGTACGTGACATTCATTTGATTACATTTGTGAAATTAATCGTTACTGTTTTAATTATGGTAGGAACAAACTGAATTGACTTTACCTTTTTGCGATCATAAGAATCAATTAACGTATTTGGCAGAAGTAATTTCATTGCTTTCTCGGAAAGATGGATTGATATCATTATTTTGTACAAAGTATAAATTTTGACTTTATCTTCTTGCGGCTATAGGAAACAATGCACGTATTTGGCCATGGTAATTGATTTCATTACTTTCTCCTGCGGATAATAATACGATACCATTTTCGTATAAATTCACCGTATTATTTTTTAATTATACCGATTTTAATTATTCTTGTTATACGATCTGTAGTTTATTCGAGTAATCCGCAGCAGAAGGAACTCTTACAAAATAAAATATCGGAGAGACGTTACGAATGTTCGCAAATTTTATGCAATTTAAAGCATGTAAAGTTAAAATTAATATTACACACTCGATGATAATTAGTGCAAGATGTTTTTATATTTATGACCAATTTTCGAATTTAATGACATTCCGTCAGTAGCTTGAAAAATTAAAAAGCATGTATATTAAATGCACCTACAAGGGTATTGTGGAATTAATATATTGGGTTTGAATAAAGCTGTCAATGCACGTTTCATGAATTTATTAGTTTTTTTTTTTTTTAAACAGTATACGTTCAGTTTAGGTGTTATTTCTTTGTCTTGCAGAAGGAACGTTAATTGATTTCTATGCTATGGAGTGAAAATCGTTATTCCTTTTAATGCTTGACATATCAACGTTAAATAAAATATCAACGGTTCTTAAGATCTTCACGGATGACGTAGCAGTGACTGTAAGCATAACAATGAGAATTGGTCAATCAAATTGTCGAATATCGACGCCATATTAAGTTTTCTATAATTTGATTGGCCAGTTCTTCCCGTTATGCTTGTCGGTGCGTTTACACGTGATATGCGTGAAGGCCTTTACGGTACACAAAATATCAACATATCAATTTGATATAATTTCTTCTCATTTCCGTTGTGAAAAAAAAATCCCGATTAATTTTAGTACAAGGAAACGAGAAATTTGGGCGCCTTTTGGTCGAATGAAGTCGTCTCGTAGATCGATCGTTGGTTGTTCGACGAGAAAAGCGATGTTGATATTAATATTCTTTGGACGCACGCGAGCCGAATGGAGCCACGAAACATCGTAAATGCGCGTCTACAGGAGCAGGGTGAATATTTATGCCCGACTACACGATATTGCACTTACCGTCCATTGAGGCGGAGACAGAGACAGAGAAAGCGGAGAGAGTATCCGCATCTACGTTTGCATCTACGTATGCGTCCATATCTGCATCTACATATGCGTCCATATCTGCATCTACATATACGCACGTAGCGTGCGGACGGCACTTCGGTGCGCTCTAATGCGAAGATACAGTCGACATTGCTATCTCTGCACCGCATCGGCACTGCAAATCGGGATATGCACCGGTCGGCTGTATCCTCCCCTAATGTCAATGCAGATGCACGTATGATACCGCTAAAATTGATCTACCCGTCGCGATTTAATCTGCTCTCGCGAAATTCCAGTTCCCCTTCGCGTACGGACGGAGCTCTCGGTAAATTGGTATTTATTGATATTGTCAATTGTCAGAGCAAGACACGCCGCCATGAAAATTCCTAGGATTCCCCCGAGAGTGCACCAATGTGCAGACCTAATTGCACCTCCGCACGGATATCGCTATCGGCTAATTATCGGGAACAAATCGAGCCCTGATTGTTCCTCCCCGGCACGCCGGTCGACCTTTCCCGGTTATCTTTCATCTGGCTGCCGGGGTTCATACATCCATTATCATTTGCAGCCCCTGTTTCCTGGGTGGCCTCGACTTCGTGTGCAGCCTTGGAATGGCGATATCAACGTCGCTGATAAAAGAAACAGGAGGAAATCTCCCGCTTGATCGGACCGCGATTATTCCCACCCCTTGAAGATAAGCTTAAATTAAGATGATTTATTTCCTGATTTTTCGATTCAATCCCGCGGGTTAAATCCTTTTTATTTCTTTGCGGATGGAGATTTGAACCAGTTTCTTTTTTTTTATTATCATAATTCCCTGCACTTGATACAGGGCTCATACAATATAAAAAGCAAACATTTAAACTTTTAAACACAGTTAAAACGTGCCGTTATAATCTATCAGCAAGGTCGCGTTATCTCTCTTATCTGAGCACGATATTGACCCTGTAAGGGAGTTCATCCCCTAAATTCGGGAGTTGTGAAACGCATTATAAATACATATGTACGTGTATGCCATTTTTCCTCATGTAGGCGGTTCACAGAGGTAGAATCGGCTGGGTCACTTAGTCGTTATACGAGGTGATGTTAGTTAGGGGCGCCTAGGAGGCGTCGCGACGTCCAATTAACGGGACGTTGGCGCCCGATATATCACCCTCTGGGGTCTCCGGTGCGTCCAGTTCTGGACATTTGGCCATTGTCCCCTATTTGCCCGGCTTTATTACCTATAATTCCGCCCGCGTTAAATAGACTTATTAATTTCGGCCTGATCAAGGCGATCGTTAATTCTGATCAGCTGAGCCTTCATTGGCCCCTTCGGAACGTTTTTTCGTCCCGTTCTTGAAGGAACTTCGCCGATCCTCCATTTGCAAAATCGTCAATTGACCCGACGTTCACTTCTATCAATTGAACTGGTTGCTCCTCCCCGAGTGAGAAGAAAAAATTCATTCGTTCCATAATCATTAAGTTGGTAAAATCGGAAATTCGATAATCTAATAAATCTTGCTTCACATTAATCTATTCACCCGATTAGAAATAATTTATTTATCCAATTTATTCCGAATGGAAATGTAATAAATCGTTCGATTATTTACTCGGTAAATTCATAGGGCGGATTAATTTATACGATTATAATTTTTTTTTTTTAGTCGATTTAAGTCCAGGGCGCATTTCCTGACGAAGGAGAGTGGGGAGGAAAATTCATTCGTTCTGTAATCAGGTACTCCACCGCCGGAAACTGTGGCAGCGGTATTCTCGCCTCGAGAGGAAATACTTCCGATCGACCGAATTAGTCGACCGATCCGGAGAAGTCGATTAAATTTGGTTCGATCTCCCATAATGAGTATTCCGGCAGCTCGGAAGCTTTCATTTTTACCCCTTATCAATGTTTCTCGTAACGTGGTTTTGTAAAACGTAATCCGGTTCGATCGGCTGGGTGAACCTAGAATCCAGTTTGAGGCACAAACAAAATGAACAAGCTCATTGGATTGTTTCTGTGATGTAGACGTTTGTGTCATGTTGAGTTTTGTTTGTGGCATTTTTTTTTTACAAAAACCAGAGCTGTTCAAAAAGATAAACGAATTCCGAAATCGTGGAAACTTGGATTTTTCGACTCTAATGGGTTCTCTGACGTTAGGAAAATTCCGAGCCTCCCAGAACCTCGAAGACGTTAAAATGGTCATTTTCGGAATTTTTTTATTTTTTTTAACAGCTTTGGCTTTTGTAAAAGAAAAAATGGCACAAACAAAACTCAACATGGCATAAACGTCTACATCGCAGAAACGTTCCAATAAGCCTGTTCATTTTGTTTGTGCCTGAAACTGGATTCCAGGTTCACAGAGCTGGTTCGATCTCCCGTAATGAATTTCTAGGGGGCTCGGATATTTTCATTTTTATCCCCTTATCAATATTTCTCGTGACGAAGTTTTGTAAACCGTAATCCGTACCGTCTGAAATATCCGGGATAAACTCCTTCCCCGAGGTCGGGGGATGGTTTCGCCGGTGAAAAATGAATTTCCCCGATAATGAGATTCTCGATCACCGAAAGTTTCGGGGCACGGGGGACCATGGGAGCTGCCGGAGTTTCCGGGTAGCTTCCTCGTGAATTGAAAGTTTCCTCGAAACAACCCCACGGCCCCTCGTTTCCTTCATCCGTCCTGGGTGGCGCGAGGCCGAATGGAGTTTCGCTTTGAAACATTCGCAAACAAGTTTGCGACCACTCGGAGTGGCGGCCGAGCGTTTGTGAACGGGCGGGCCCTTCCTTAATAATGCCGAAAGGGAATTTGGGAAACGGGGCCGTTTGATCCCTGGATATCGATCCCCGATTTATCGGCGGACATTTCGGGGGAACTGCGAATCGCTCCGGGAAACTCGCCGTCAGTCCCCGATAACACGTCCCAGGACTTCGGTCGAATTTCCCACACACTTTTGTCAGAAAATATTTTTCCGGAACGTAGGAACAACTTTGCGTGACGTAATATTTCTTTTTTTCTCTCCCCTTGGGTTGTATAACGAGCCTTTAAAAGTCGTGGAATTTTCGCAACTGCACGTTTTTGAAAGGACTCGAGTGAAATTGTATTCGACGCTTAGAGAGTTCGCAAGCCACTTTGCTCGCGTGGTATGGAAAAAAAAAAAAAAGAAAAGGAACGATTCTCCGGGATTGTGAGGAGATTTATGTCGTGCGGAGCTGGTCTAAAGGCTGAAAGCGTTTACTGGCCTCCCCATTATGTGTCCCCTTCCAGCTTGATTCCGCCCTAAAAATTAAGCGCGGCGCCCATTTATTGTCGAGATATAACCCGCCGAAGTCATATTTCTTTAATTCGTCATAAAGGGTCGCTTCTAAGCGGTGCTTTCCTTGTCTCGTTCCAGTATGCGGTGACATTCACGGCCAGTTTTACGATCTGATGAAGTTATTCGAGGTGGGCGGCCCACCCTCCACGACAAAATACCTCTTCCTCGGCGACTACGTGGACAGAGGTTACTTCAGCATCGAGGTGAGTTGAAACATTTCTCAATTCGACGTAAAAAATTAAATATCCAGAAAACATGCTCCTAGTAGGTGGACAATTTAGCCAGAGCCTTAATTTTCTGGCAAAAAGACGTAACTGCCTCTGTACGTGGTAAATTTCATTTTTAATTTCCTACAAATGCGTTGAATTGAATTCGAATTTGAAAATTTCTCAGGCCAAACTAATCTTAGGAATCGCGGTCCCCCGAGCCGTAAAAGTTAACCGGAGTTCTTCATTAGAGGCTCGCAAATTCCTAATTAGATCGCCAAGTGGAGTATCCTCGCGGAGGATAATTCCCACGGTTCGTCCTCTTGTTAGGGCGAACTTCCGAAATTAGCCACAAAGACGCCAAAGAAACTCCTTTCCACCGGCGCCACGCGTCCAATTATCGACTTCTCTAATTAACGATCCCCTCCGCTAATTAGCCACCCCCCCTCCTGCTTTTAGCCGTGCAAATTCGAAAGTAGATCCCTCCCTAACCTTCCGTATAAATAATTAGCTCCAACGCCTAATTATATTTACCACGAACGGCCCGACAAATACTTCCGAGGGAAATTTTCCGAAAATCAATAGTTTTTCGAAGTCAGCTTGATCCTCTCGATTATCATCTCTTCATGATGGCGATAACGTCGATAAGTCGAAGAGTGAACGACTCAAGTCGGTTTGTTCTAGACTATGTTAAGTCTCAAGATATTTGTCTTATGCTCCATGGAAGCTCGTGAGAATTCGAAATATAATATGAGAAATAATATTTAAGATAGGAAATTGTTAATGAAATCGGTCTTACTTAAACCTAGATATACACTTAAGTCCGTTTTTATAGGGTTTATCAAATGAACATTAAATCGTGGCTCGGTCAAACTTCGGAAGTTTCAACTTTCAAACATATTCAACTCGATGCCAACTCCGAGTAAAGCATTCGTGTCTGCTGGTTTAGTTTTAAAGTGTATTCGGTACGTTAAGATATCTATGAAATTAGAATTGGTAGTGATACAAAATATGAGCCTCATTCGGATGAATACTCGGATACGCGTCTGCTTATTTGGCCTTTTGATCAACCTGTATGAAGCTTATTGAAATCCCCTATCCCATTTATGCGGTCTATCTTTGTGAGACTATTACAAGATTCTCACGAAAAAGGAAAAAAAGTGAACTTGTGTTGAAATGAAGTTGAATGTTGAAATTGAAGAAAATTGAAGAAAAATGAAGTTTCTGTCGACAAATTAAATGGTGAAAAGAATAGAAGATTTAGAGGGTCAACCGAGGTCGATAATTTCGACTCGAGGGTTTCGTCGTTTCAGGGAATTTCAGTCTCCCTTAGCGGAAACCTCATCCCTCCGGGAAATCTGCGAAATGGACTTTGGGAAATCCGTGCAATGGACTTTGGGAAATCTGAAGTAGGGGGGAAGTTGCTGAAACTCCGAAAGCGACGGCGCTCCGAAGGGTAAAGTTGTCGGCGAGCCCGTCGATTTCTGTCTGGCAAAACTGCCCCCGCCATTCATCATTATCCTCTAATCGCCGGAACCATATCGCCGATAGGTACACCGATAAAGGACTGTCACAGAACGGGGAAGGGCGTAACGAGGAGAAGTCAAACTTCGGACTGAACTTAAGTCGGCGACGGAGGTTAGGGGATGACTCGACCCCCGGGGAGAACTTCATTCACACGCCTCATTAAGCTCCCATTTATTTATTTATCTGTTTGCGCGAGTCCCGATTATAGTTCAATAATTATTTAACGTCATTTTCACACGTTCTCGTGCAGGGGGAAGATATTAAATCACAGTCCGAAGGCCCGCACACGTCCTTATCCATTTTTTCCAAAGCTAATGGAATCGCAAAACATTCAGGGTGCGAATAAAAAAGTAAGATCCTTTCAGTGGCAAGGCCTCTTGGTATAGGATCCTTGCACGCGAGATTCAATATTCTTGAAAATTTCATCGAAAACTCCCTCGAGCTCCTTTCGATCCTCTTGAGAGAGCTTTATTGACACCTGTTATCGGCTAATCATTGATTTCTCATTAATCTTCTATGTATTTATATAAGTCTGCTTGCACGAGCCTCAGCATCCGGTTATGGATTAACAATTACTCGTCGTCGTTTCTGCGCGTCTCTTTTTATAAAAAGGGAATACTAACGTCGGGGGCAATTTTATTCTCTACATAGAACGGGGGAGCGGAAGGGGTTAATGAAAAGCACGATCCCTTGCAAAGCACATCGGTACAGGAGCTTTGCAACGCGAAAATCAGTTTTTTCCGAGAATTTCATCGGAAGCTTACCCGATCTGGTTTTAATCCTCTAACAACGAGTCCGAGCGAAGAGAATGGGGCGGGACGATACCGATGTCAGGAACAATGTCGTTCTAGTGCTCCCTTTGTTTTTTTTTTCCTACCGATATACCGCGTAATCGATGATTCCGAATTGGAGCTCGTCGCAACAAAGGTGAGCTCCCTCGGGGCGCTGTCGGTCTCTTTAAAGCGATCCCGAGAATTACATGTGTTTTCCTCTCAACTGTATGCCGCGTGCAAGGAGGGGGCGGAATGCAATCAGGGGATCAAAGACAAGTCGAGTGCACGTTAGACAATCTTCGGGGTCGGAGGAATCCGCTTTGCCCCATGTAATGCCTCCGTCCCCCCATTCGTGGAAAAACCGCACCCGCGCCGTCATGCGGCATCGCCAATAATTTATGCCCTCCAAGATAGAACAAAAAATTCTTCCATAAAACTGCAACTTCGCTCTTGAAAAGGATTTCTCCCTCTTTCCTCTTTCGGCTTACTTTTTCCTTCGTAAAATGCACTCGGGCTTGCAAAAGTTCCCCCTCATCCCAACTTTTCCAATATACTTTTAATAGCTCTCCTTCTTCCATTACATTTTTACATTAAAGCGGTGTTTAGCGATATCAGTAAGAATATGTATTTGCACAGTTGTTGTAAAACGGTATCGAGAATATCGACGTGAAAAATAGATGCCGAAGACTCTTGTCGGACTAGGAGATTCAAGAAGCCGCGAAAAGTTTGGAATTTTCAGGTAACAAAGTACGTTACCGAGCTGCAAATCGTTCATCAGTTGGATTGCGAAATGCTTGGTTAAGTTTGCGGATTCTCGCGAGATCAACGCTTGCGGGCACTGAGGCGAATGCAAGGGTGAATGCATGCGTCTGTCGCCCCGCAATGCACGACATGAAGTGCAAAGGGTACGCAAGGTGTATAGGGTGTATAGGGTGCATAGAGTGTATAGAGTGTATAGAGTGTATAGGGTGCATAGGGTTCTTAGGGCGTGGAGACTGCATAGGGTACATACATAGGGTGCATAGAGTGCATAGGGTGCACGGGGTGTATACGGTGCATAGGGTGCGCGTGGGCGTCGAACGCAAGACACGTGGCCGACCTCTCCATGCATGTTTCCATCGATTTTTCCGTTTTCGCCGGGAAATCGTATATCCTCGTTTACAGGTGTGTACGGTATGCCGTGCGGATAATAGGTACATACGCGATGCCGTAAAAAAGAATTTAAAGGAAGGCAGCATGCCTCTCCGAGCGCATTCCTCTCGCCTTTTTTTCGTAAATAACCACGGAATATCGCTCGTTCTAGTTTAAATATTTACGTCGAACGTTACGTATAAATAAATAGCGTGCTTAAACAAATATACCTGTACGGGGCGTATGAGATAGTGCGCTATCATGTGGAAGTATCGAGAGCGAGTATTAGTATCGATTTTGTTTTACCTTTCCTCGGGAAATCGAAGGTCCTCGCTGAAACGAGGGTGGCAGGTGTTACGCGGGAAATAAATGCGTGTTTGATGTTGTAAAAGCGTATAGGGTGCATCACGGATGCGCACGTATACTCGGTCGGCTTCGAGGGTGTCCGAGGATTTCATCTTTTTCGATTTTGGTCCTTAAAGTTGGCTCGAGGAAGTATTCGAAGAGGATTTTTAACAGCTCGGGGGTAAGATTGCGTTTGGAAAAGTTATATGGGTTTACTTAGGAATTGTGTATCGAGAAGCTAAAGCCGCAGTTGATATATGCTTTATCAGATCTTTATCTTTAACAAGGATAACGGACTGCTTTCCGCCTACCGGTTGCAGGGGAAACGGGAAACGCACCATCGGAAAAGCTCGGAGAAAACGCTGACCTCCTCTCTCGGGTCGAGCTTCTCTTAATAAATCCCGCGTTGCTATTGGCTTAGAGGAAACACGGACTTGGATAGGTTCCCTCTTCAGACTCTTTCCTGTCCCCGGGAACGAGGAACAAAAGAAGGAACTCCCAGTTATTCCTCGCGCAAAGATCGTTTCTTCTTCGGATGTTACGTTGCCCTTAATAAGGACGCGTCTCTAATTGCCAGGGCAATTTACTATATCTCTATCTAATTAATATAAGGATGGCCGGTAAACACATTTCCACCTAAGAAAACCTTGATACTTTTCGCACTATCCCCGAGTATAATGGATATCGGAGAAACGGTATGATCGTTTTCAAACGGTTTAACAATAGAATTCATGGGATGGGATTCTTTCCTCCTATCAAGATTAGGAAGGGACAATCATGGCGTTTCCAGGTGGTCATCCGATGCACCATCGGTGTAGGGGATGTTACCACCAACTGTGTTCGACTGGTCGGTTTAGTATTACTCAGCCAGAGTATCCTATTCGGTTTGGCAGGGTTGAATCAATGGCGTACGGCTATAACCCTAGATTTGTCAAAAAAGCAAGCGGAACGAGTACAATATGGCAGCGCCCGTGAACAACCAACACAAATGCTTGCAAGTAATCCTGAATTCTTTTAAACTCTTCAACCGACGGTGAAAACCCCGAATTAAAAACGCTTAAACGTTAACTAGTGAAAACAGCCGCGAAATAAAAAAAATACTCTCATTTTTTATTTTTGGCAAATATTTATAAAAGTTCGCGCGTCCGTCCGGGAGGGTAGCGTTGCCAGGGAGGAACAAAATGCACAAAATACGTATACACCGCCAGCACCGAAACTATGTTGCCGTGCAGTTGCATAACGCTCGCGCGACACCGGCATAAAAAAAGTGTAGCTCAGCTGCGCGATAAGTAAACTAAAAACGAGCCTTTTCGTTAAACGTTCTCGTTGGCTTTCAATTTTGTTTCACCCCGAACGTCCAATAAGGTACAGGGTAGACCGTCCATGTCCGTATATTTATCCGACGGCTCGCAATGTATATTTACTCGACGGTATGTTGCAAACTCGGGTGTCCTGTCCGCAACACGTAATTAATAATGAAATTTGAATAAATCCCAAGCGACCAGACATCGCGCGTCGCGGTCCTCTAGCAAAGCCTAGCCCGGAATTTCGGCAATACCGCAAAGAATGAGTAATACCGAGGCGGTCGCCGGTGCCAAGCGATAAATTAGCCGGCGGCTCGTTCAATTTAGAACGAGAGCCGTCGTTTAATGCGAGCCCGGCTGCCACCCGCGCTCGCGTGGGCACCGAGTGCACCGCGAGGACCGCGCGAGGCCCGGTCCAAAAGCGCGGTATTATTGCGGTAATAACCGGGCCCGGAAGCCCCGGGCCGCTCGGCTGGAGGTCTCTCGCTCGCTTTCGAAACGCGCCGCATGACACGAGGGTTTAATTCGAGCCCGACATTGTTCACGGCCGCGACTCCTCCTGAGGTCGCCTCGATATAAGGATGCCCTCTCGAGTCGAAACTATCGACCTCGGCTGAATTTCTGTCATGTATTGTTCCGATCGTTTAGGTCAAATTTCAAACGATTTGGTTCGCTCAGTTCGGAGAGAGGTTTCTTAAATGATTCACCTCTTAGACGCCATTTTCGTTTCGGTTTAAACCTAAAAATCGTCAAGTTAATAGTCATTAGAGAATAGCACGAGAGTATAATTCAAACCCGGCATTGTTCGCCGCTCTATTGTTCCGATCGTTTAGGTAAAATTTCAAACGATTTGGTTCGTCCAATTCGAAAAAAAGTTTCTGAAATCATTGACCTCTTAGACGCCACATTCGTGTCATCTTAAGCCTGAAAATCATTAAGTTATTAGTCTTTCGAGAATTACGGAGAAGATGAAAATCGGTACCGGTGATCTTGATCTTTCGGTCCTGTAATTTACAACGTATTAGAAATATAAGGTCGTTCCATTATTATCGTCGCAAAGAGTAGAATCTTAATCGCGTAAAATTTGCTCCTACGATGAATGTTAATAATTTAGACATAATTATTCCTAGGGTCGGGGATGAAGGGTAAGACCTGAAAGTTGCGGTTTCGAAGGTTTGTCGCGTCTGGACCTCGACCCTACATAAACGGGCATAAGTGCACCCTGAAGTTAATATATTCTTATCTTAAATTCTTATTTAAAAATCTCGGATTATACTCCAAATCCTCACGTGCGTTCCCGAGATTTATACGAGGTAAAAGTTTTCGACCTGTGCTCCGACGACGCGACGCGCCGTCCAAGAACCCCAGGCGGATGGATTAATGGACGCTCCCCGTGGAGGGAAATCCTCTAGTGAGGATTTTTCTTCGCGTCTTGGAAATCCTCTTGGGTCGCGACTCCTGAAATATAGCGACGCGTCGCCATCCGAAACGCGGAGGGGAGGAAAGAACACGCGGTGCATCTTGCCAGGATCATCTTTACGGCGGTGCAGCAGGCGGATAAAGAAGGGCCAGGGGTGGGTTAAAAGGGTCCGGATAGGATGTAATATGTAATGATGATGGATGAGCCGAGGGGTTCTTTGATAAGGATAGAGCGAGTTGTTTCGTCCTGTTTCATTACGTTTTGTTATTAGGAAAAGGGTGGAATAGTCGGGGTTATTAGATTGCATGGGGCTAGGAGCATCTAAGTGCAGCAGGGAATTAAGAATGGGAGTGGCCGCTAGGGGGTTGAAAGGGTCTAGGGGGGATGTTACATGTAATGCTAATAAATGGGGCGCGTTAATAATGGAGGGGGGTTTAAGTTAGGTTAGTAGGGGTCTCTTGTGTAGTGTATTATATTTTATTATCAAGAAGGGAGAGAGAGGAGGGTGAAATAGTTGGTGTTGTTGCATCGCATTTTGCCGAGGGCATCTTTGCAGCGAAGTGCCAAGGGGGTTGGGAAAGAGTTGGGAGGTAGGAGGTTAAAAGGGTTGAGATAAGATGTAACATGTAGGATGGTGATAAATGCGACGAGGAGTTTTTAAGCGGTGATAGAGAGGATCTCTTTTATGTATATATTTATTATATACGTATTATTAAGAAGAGTGGGTAGAATAGCGGGTGTTATTGGATTGCATCTTGCCAGAAGTATCTTTGCAGCAAAGTGCATCGGGTAGTTAAGAAGAGAGTGGTTGCTGGGGGTGGGTTAAAAGGGTCGAAATGGGATGTTATAAGTAAACTGAAAAGACACCCTTGATATGAAAAATCTCCACCAATTACGCTTGTTGACGGAAACTTCAACTACGAAAGTAAGACGTGAGAAATGACAACGTGGATAATCATGTGTGGGTAGATTGTATTATGAATTTATAATAAAAAAGAAATCCTATGAACAGAATTTGAACAGCGGGTAGATAATTGGAATAATGATTTGGCAATGAAGACACGTTTCGCAAAATTTAAAGAAACCAGCCCCTTAAGGAACTAAATACGATTCAACAACATTCACGGAAATATGATTCGATATTGATTGAAAATTAAAAATAAAAATAGTTCCAGGAGAGGGATCTGAGAGGAGGAATTACAATTAAAATTTAGGGTTCGAAACATTGTTCGACGGAAAGTGAAAATACATTTCGATACTCTTTGGGTTTCTCGCTTAAATGTATTTGGCTCGAAACGCTGTCGAGTTTCTTAATGACGAGACAGAGATTTCCGAGACAGAGGTCTGCCTTGTATATATCGCGATATACTTTATTCTTAAGAAAACACGTAATAGTCGAGGTTATTGCATCTCATAACTTGGCACGCAATCTTTAGTGGAGTAATTTCGTATTGTTCCAGTGCGTACTGTACCTGTGGGCATTGAAACTGTGCCATCCAACGACGCTCTTCCTCCTCAGAGGTAACCACGAGTGTCGACATCTCACGGAATACTTCACGTTTAAGCAGGAGTGTAAGTACAATCGCATGAAGTAATTTAATTCAATCAAGCTTTACTAGTTCTTTCTCAATCTGATGCGTCATTTGCGTGGAACGTTTGTCGCGTTTCGTTAATTCACTTATGTTAGTTTGCTCCTTTGCTTACGAAAGGAGACGAGACAGAGCTTTTTTTATATCAACTTTCGCTAAGTTCATCGATTAGAGACGTTCAATACATTCCAGAGATTTCATTCCCACACATACTCCGTTTTATTATAAGTTTTCATCTACAGCCTTTATGCTTTAATTCATTCAATTTATCGTGTAATCTAATTTGACCCTCTGCTTCCTATGTAGTAACAGCATAAATACATCCTATCCTTTTTTAACGCATCGTTAATCACACAACAAGCATATAAATAAATCGCAGACGAAGTTGATGGGTATTTTTAGAAAATGCAACTTCCCAATTCGTCCTGGACGTTTTGGCACGCATACGATTTTCTAAATTTGTCATAAAACTATGCAATCCCTTATACGGTATGAAAGACAATTATGTCTTTTTCCCACGTGATTTAAGGTGAAGTGAAACCCCCTTCAAATCAGTCAATTCGAATACAACACTTTTTTTTAAGCGTGTTAGACCAAACTGCCCGAAACTTTGACACATCCCTTCTGATCATCTAAGAATTGTCCTGACACATTCAAATACAATTATCGAAGGCTCTGATATGAGAAACGAAAGGGTCAGGACAATTTTACGACAACTAGAACACTCTGGTAGTCGATAAACTCGCATTTGAACGGGATAAAGGCAAAAAAAGAGTTGTATGCGCTTCTATGCTAAAACGATGGTAATACGGAGTCTGGGAGTGAAAATTTAATTGACCTGGAAATCACAGATGGCGCAGGGGGTCCCTCTGCAGTCAATTAGGGCCCCAGAAAGCATGAATCCAGAGGATTTCTGGAATTTTACTTCGATTTCTTGATATTTATTGTACGAAAACGACAGGTGGAGTATGCCATTTGGTACAATATCCAATATAATTCAACACAGCTGTCAATATACAAACGAACGTCGGCAACGTAGGCATTTAGAAAAACCTTCTTTATCGTCGTCGATCAAGTTCCTCGACGTGTTTCACTTCACCTTAATCCAACGATAAATAAACCAATAGTTATATCTGTACCGTAGAGGTAAATAGTTTTAAGCTCAGCTTTAGTCTGCATAGAGATTTAATTTTTATTTCGTACTTAGATTTTCATTTCGTTTCGCGGCAAAAGTTCTCTGAATGTTTCCAAAAGTGGACTTACTATCCTTTATCAGAACGGTACAGAGATCTAAGACGAACTTATTGGTCGTTTTCCGGGGATTGGACATGCGAACCGATTCCGGCGCACGCATTTGCTTACGCATCTCCTGCCCGTAAATCTCCCAGGGTGTATCGCAGCTCCGCAATATCTCGGAGCCGCGGTCGCGGCTTTTACGAGCGCATAATATATTCGGCACGGTATATAGCACGTAAATAAACGCGGCGCGTGCAAGGCCGCTCGTCGTGCCGTTATACGGTCAGTTATCGCGCCGATCTTGGGACACTCGGTGCGTAAGCGTGCGTGCACGTATGCCCTACATACGCGTATTCACATGGGACCGGATAATGTTGCGGTACCCCTTCGGTATATATTATTATACATACATATATGCACCACCCCGCGGTCTTACGGCGGCTTGCGGGAACGTCATGTCTACAGATACCCGGCCACGTGGTCACTTTTTATTTACACTGCACTTGTCTCCACGTCTACAGGCTTGTAATTTATTTTTCTATTTATGTTATATTTATATCGTTTCCCTTACTATTTATTTTCTGTCGATTAAACTTGCATTCTCCGCCACGGTTAAAATAATTAAATCGATTGATGTTCTTTTCGGAGAAGACGGAATTCTTTTTTTACCGATGACGATAATTTGTCTCGAGGTTGGACAACTGTTCCTCGTAAACCCACGCTCATTGTTTATTTTAATATTTATTTTATACCGGTTAAATTTCTCCTAGGTTTGCGGCGGTTAAGGGGATTGATAGGCTGTAAAATGCGTTTCAATCGAAGTGAATTTAAAAGAAAAGGAAATGGTGTAGGAAATATTTGTTCAAGGGGCGGCTTTATTTGATATTTTACGGAGAACTTAAGATGAACAGAGTGTTAAAGTGTTTCAAAATCGCGAACGTGTCTCGTTGATCGATCAGTGTGAAATGGAAAGTTGAAGTGGTGATAGAAACTAGAAAAGATTATTTAAGAACCGATGGCATTGTCTTTGGATAAAATCAAAGCTCATAAGCTCTTGTAAGAAAAAGCCTATAGAAATCCCCTTTCCATTGCTTCTTGTGCTCCAATTGTTCATATCTCGCGAACAAGAATTTTTATCAAAAATCCGTGTTATCGGTTCATAAATAATTTGTTCTGGTTCTTAAAATCACCTTAACTTCCTATTTCAAATCAGTCGTTCTCCTGGAACCATGTATACCATCAAAAAGAATAAGAAATTTCTCGCCTCTCCAAGTCCGCCATATTGTGAAATAATTTAAAACTTCGTTTATCTTAAATTCTTCTTAGAACATTAAACAAGACGGTAAGCAAATATTCTATGTAGCTCTTCATCTGCTTTTAAACTCATTACGATTAAAATGCATTTCACGACCTATTAATTTACTTAAATCGATTGATATTCCTTGGAAGGAATTGAATTTCTTCTTACCACTGTAGAGAATCTGTCCCGAGGTAAGGGATGGGTATTGCATTTTGGGTATCTGTTGTTTTTTGCTATTTCGGGTGTATTTATTTTTTACCTGGGGATAATCGATTTCGCGGGGAGATACCTAGACGAGAGTCGGAGTCGCGCATAATTCACTCGCACAAACGGCGGCTGTTTGGGGCGACACTTTGATCCATCGTGCGTCCCGACGTCGGGGAGTAACGAGGCGCGAGAGACGATGCTCGTCGCACTTTCCACCGGTGATTTGACGATGCATTCATCGACGCCCCGACGCCGCGACGCCCGTTTACCCGACGCCTTTACCGGCCGTAAAAAGATCGCGTTGATTCCACCGCGAAATAACAAACGCGAGCGCGCGCGGCCACCTTGGTCCATTTTCCCTTCCCTATCCCAGCATTCGATGCGTATTTTTTCCATCTGGTACCAGCTGCATTGAGCTGGGAACTATGGAGGATTCCCTCCCGGGGGTGGACTCTATCCAGAATCGACGCTAAGTATCGATTCTAATCGACCCCTCGCTCTCTTCGAGTCCATCATCGAGGCTTCGAATCCCGAGTGCGGCCTTCGGAATGGAAACAATGCGAGATGCATCTTTCTTGCTCCTCTTTGTTGCGAGAATCGCGGTCCAGTGGGCGGATTTTTAATCATTGCAAAAAATCCCCCCTTTGAATTTCGAGGTTGACGTTTACAGTGAAATCGTAACCTGGTTGTATAGGAAGACGTTTCTTTGATAATCGCTAGTGGGGAACGATAACACCAGATTAGGTGAAGAGCAGGGCCAATGATGTATTGATAATCTCCTTTATATCGTAAAAGGGTAGATGGATATCACCTGAAGATTTGCTTTCTTCGGATGGTTTGGCTTTTTATTTTTTATTTTATTAATCGTTAGGGAGGAAGGAGATTCTTTTTATTTTTTTACTTTTTATTTATCTAAGAAAGCTATGTGCGCTCTTTGAGAATGAGCGCTGAGATGAGTTTCTGGCGGGTAAATTCAGAGTTCGAGAATTTGCCCCACGCAGAAATTTAAATAAAACGACAATAACAATTTTACATACTCGTAAAATGATGGAATGAGAATACAATTTGTTGATGTTAATTAGCGGTAGAATCGCGCGTCAGGATTACGCACTAAGTCCCAGTGCGGAGATAACCATCCGAATTGTTCGAAGTCCTAGCTGAGTCTAATCTTAAAAATAAATGGAAACTTGCATTCTTGATGTACTTTCTTCCCTTTCCTCGGTCGGGACCTAGGAAAGGATGCACTTAGAATACTGAATCCTGATTGGATGATTTTCTGTTAGCACATCTAAAACGTTCGCTTCTCTAAGACGACCCAGACTTCTTCGAATCCTGAAGAAAGTCCGCGGTGTCTGTTAGCCATACAATATCCCCTGGAAGTGCGTCCCCATGGCAGATCCTGAAGTGACCACTTGAAAACGTCTCTGGTCAGGTCATAAATCCCAAGTCTTTTCTTTAACTATTTTTTGACCACGTGCAGGACACTTTTTCGAGAAAGCGTCCATGGCTAAATGTTGCTTAAATGCGCTTCGAGCTGCATCACTCCAATCAGGTGATTCAACAAAAGCAAACGTCCGACTTTGGAGAAATTCATTGGCGGGAACTTTCCCGTGACGTTCCGGTGGCTGCCTTCGAGTCGATCCGTTGGTTACTATTCGAGATTTATTGCTTCGTGGTCTTGCAACTCGAATTGGGCACGTCGGATGAATTCATCCTCTCGGTCTTGCTTGACAGCCCGGTGGCAGCTCAACGAGTCAATTTGTCCGCTCCCGAGGACGCCAAGGAAGAACAGAGGGTGGCTATCCTCGGGACCACCCTATCCTTATTGACAACAAATCCTTCAGGAACGTCAAGGGGACCCTTCGTCTTCTGGAGGATGCTCTCGTCCGTTCCGAATCCTTCACTTTTTTGTCTCACGGAGAATGGAAGCTTTCCATCTTAACCACTATCTGATTTATATACAGCGAAGGATATCGCCTAGTTGATTAAAGTGAGAAATCGAGGACTTCGAATGGATGCAAAATCTTCGGGAAGATGATGAATTCTTCATTTTTCACTTCTGCGGAAAATGGAGATTTTCCATCTTCATCGCTTCCTGATTTATACGATGAAGGATATTGTCTAATCGATTGCAGTGAGGAATCGAAGGCTTCGATTGAAAATGAAACGTACTGCGTGCTCGAAAATGGATTCTCATTCAGATTCTCGCCATCGAGGTCTTTACCGAGGGTCGCGATTTGGAGTTTTATCAATTTTGAGTTATGCTCATCTTTATTGAGAAGGGGATCCGCCGGGAGCGTCTAAGGGGCCCTTCATCTTCGGGGAGATGACCTCGCCCATTTCGAATTCTCCGTCTTTCCCTCCTATTCGAGAAATGGAGGCCTTTCGTCCCGACTCCACGTCGATCTATACAGAAAAGAATATTGTACACGGATCTCGGGCTCGTGGACTAAACGAGATATCAGACTTCTCGGACGGGATGAGTCGCTCAAAGAAAATGTACGAATATCGTTGGGCGAAATGGATGCATGAATCAGCATGGCCACGTGAAAAATTATTCTCATTCCTGCGTAGCTGATTATCTGGGGCATTGTTACACGCTCGATGTTTGCTTCCATAAATTAAACAAAGGGATACTTTCAATGTATACTTGGTATTTATGACTTGAGAGAGTCTGGAGAAATGACGCGTAGAGCCGATCTTTCCGATCTGCGGGATGAGTAATGCTCTGCAATCCCGTTAATGACATGTTGTTTTGATTTTCCAGGCAAAATAAAATACTCGGAGAAGGTGTACGACGCGTGTATGGACGCCTTCGATTGCCTGCCCCTTGCAGCGCTCATGAACCAACAGTTCCTCTGCGTGCACGGTGGCCTGTCTCCGGAAATCCACAATCTCGAAGACATACGCAAGGTAAGTCCGACAGATCGGTATCACATGGATAAAAAAAACTGCTTTAAGCTTGTTAAGACCCCGGTTGATTTGTAAAACCACCCTCTTACTCGGAAAGGTTCATCGATGGACTCTCTTAAACAGAAGTGGAGAATTATGTTGATTATATCATTTTAAACATTTTTTTGTAGGGATTGTTTATTAGTTCAGTTAACTTCTAACCATGTTCCTCCTGACTTTGTGGCGTGTACGGTGAAATTAAAATACTCGACAGTGTTCCGCGCCAAATTGCCAGGTGCGCGATCAATCGAGTTTTTTTACTTGAACGGCGAAGTGTAGAGAGATTTTTAATTTTAATTGAAGCTTGGCAATCGTTTAACGGGGAATTATAAGGTACGCGGTACGGGGTCGCGAAAGGAACGAATTTCCCGAGGACCGTTTTTGAGAAATTCATCTGGACGTTCTGGGAGACAACAGGGTGGGCAGAGGGAGTGGATGAGAGGTTAACCTTGATCCCCACGAGAAATCTGGTCCAGATGCTGCGGTCTGGCGCTTTTATTTCATCGTGCTCAGAACTTGAATCACCCCCTTGCTGCTCCTCTTCGCGACTGGGAGTTGACACCGTCGCAACAACCACCAACCCACCACCCACCACCCACCGCCCACCGCATCGGTTTCTACCGGAAGGGTCGCAATGCTTTTTTCTACGAAAGAATGACGGGCCCATCTACTGTAATTAGACGGCGATGACAGTTTTATGATTGCGTGGAACTGCAAATGTTACCTTCTTCAAAGGACGCTCTTATACCAAAAAGTAAAACGAAACATGATCACTCAGCGCCTTGAGATATATTAATACGTCCCGATCGTCCATAGAAGGAATTTAGGAGAAAAGTAAACGTTCAGTCGCGGTTTCCTCGAATGCCTTGAATTTCAAAAAACGTTTAAAGGTGCAACTCGATGAATGCCTAGGGAGGTGTAAAAAGTCGCGGTCGGGAGGTGATCGATACGCCAGTAACTATCGATACCCGCTCGCGCAAGTTCGGTCGCCTTTCTTTCGACAGAACGATTAGGATAATGGTTTTGCTATAACCCGGTGTCCGTACACAATTGATCAACGGTTTACTGGGATAATTAAAAAAGGAGCAGGTGAATGGGACGGGGATGGAGGAAATTCCAACCCCGATAGCCGATAGGAAATCGATACGCCAATACGTGCGGGCGAATTTTTCCTTTAAGCCCTTTTACAGTTTCCGAGATTTTACGGGATTTCGTGATTATTGTGTCGGCGGAGAAAAGGGAAAAAATGTTCGAAGAATTATACAAAATATTCAGTAAGCCGTTATTCGGACAATTTAGTATAAATTAGGTCAACGTGTAAAAATTGAATTCATTACTGCGCATCATTTTAGTGCCTATTCGAGCGCCCCTCGACAGAGCAAGCAACGTACATGCGGCATCAGCAATTGTTTAAACTCATTAACGAGTTAGCTCGGTTTACACGGGACATTTTGTCGCACGGTTTAATTTCCTTACTCGACCCAACTGTTTCGCCGGTTCTCTCGGTTTCCCCCATTTTCGCAGCCACGGATTAGGACCGAACCAAAATTTCCAACGTATTCCTAGCTTTCAATTACACGGGAGTAAATAAACGCATACATTTCCAACAAACGAAACCGTCTACGAAGTGAGACCCGGAGTTGAATCTTAATCCACTCTCATACCCTATAGAGTGTCTCTTCAATCAATACAGACGGAAGAAAATGTAGAATTTATGAAAGGAATCCCGTATTTCTGGAATTTAATCAATCGTCGCGGCAACGTTATCAATATTCATTTTCGATATCGACGTTCGCCGGTATTTTCGACCGTTCCATTTTTCTAGCATCGTTGGGGCTGAAGGAGAACCGAGAAACGGAATTTATTCGATCGGCGGGGTAGCGTTCTCCAATATTCTCGGATCCTCCGCCACCCCGTTTCTCCGATGGGGTTGTCGATGAAAGAAAATTGGAAGATGGAAGAGGGGCGGATTTCGGAAATTCGGGCGCATCCGGGGGCGCTCGGGCACGGTGAAATAAGATGAGCAAACCCTTGTCGACGTATATATAGGTGTATATAAAGTCCCCGAGAGATTCCAGCATATTTGCGGACGTCCGAGGGGGTGAAAAACCGGGGGCAGGGGGGCGGTGTCCCCGCGGAAGAGCGGCGGGCCGCACCGCCGCATTTCACGCTCGCTGCTTCTCAAAGGATCTTTCGCACCTTCTCTGGAGGTGCCCCGAAGGACGAGAGTCAGGACCTCGTAGGTCGGCCGGCACAAACGGGATCTATTATCTCCCCTTCCTTAAACAATACACGCAAGAGCACCCCGGAATCTCCACCGAAAAATCGGATCAAAATCCCTCCGATAATGCTCTCCTTGCCCCGATTCATCGACGTGGGTTCAAAAGGAACCCTGTAACGCTTTCCATCCGTAGAAGGAGGTAGATGGATAAAAGTCCTCCCCTTTTATGGCAGGATAGAGCGGTCGAAGTATGAGAACGATAATACGTACAATTTTGCATATTGTAAAGGGCCCCGTTTCGAAAAGTGACATGCTTTTCGTTTACAGTTAATTACTATATTCATTCATCTCTGTGTTTTAATATTAACACTGTGTAAATTGTAATTTTACAATTCTTCACTATTTATATTCAGCTCCGTGGGTTAGCGTTGAGAAAATCTACGTAAACAATTTCCTCAGCTTTCGCGCGTTATTCCCAGTATAAATTTTTGACATTGAAAGTTCGAATGAAAAACAATATAAATGAAAAGAAAATTAATCGCGCCGAAAAGAACCAGTACCGAACGCGTAACGCCATCTCGTGAAAGAATCGTCAATAACGATTGATAACATTTAATGATTCTCTTAGAAATTTCACAGTCAAAACACCTGACGTGCACTCCTCGATTTTTTTTTCCCCGACTTCCCCAGATTTTTTCTCGGCGCCTTTCAAGTATCATGGAGCAAGACCAGGTGAGAGTGCTCCAGTTGCCCCGATTCCTTCGCTCGTCCCGATCTTTCATTAACATTCTCGGATTTCTCGTCCTTGCCTATCGCGCTGCACCTTGAACTCTCCAACGGGAGAAATAAGGCCGACGCGTCCAAGTCCACCGCGAATCGGAGAATCTTGGACAAATCCTGAGAACCTCATCCCAGCTTCCATTGCCACGTCCCAGTGGCGCGATTCTATTAATATAATCTCCAATTCCCTATTCCCATCCCACCCCGGCTGCGCCTCGACCTCTCCGACGCGAAATAGCAGACCGGATTCCGGATCAGTCCATGACCTACGAAAATAACCAAGGTGGACGATCGGATTGCGAGCACGCGTCGAGGTGGAGGTTCCGCACACTCTCGGGGCGGATCCACCCCGTGGCGTGTGGGATGGGTACAGGTGCATCGGTGAGGTCCCGTGTACGGTGCCGATACGTCTGCGTACACGTCTCGTACACAGACGTGTACGTACGAGGTGAACCACGGCGTAGGTGGACGATCGATACAGCAGGTGGCAGCACGTCGAGCTCCCTGGTCCGCCTCTGCCTCGGTTTGCCTCGACTTCGATAGCTGCTCGACCCTCTGGAGCGATCGACCGATCGATCGATCGGCCTATCCGGATTTCGCGCACGAGTGGACCAAAACTGACCACCTAACCCTTTAGGCTTGACAGGGAACCCTGTCGTGCTCGGATTAAACGGAACGGCGACTTTTTGGACAGGGTTTCCTCCCAGCCCGTTGATTATCCTTGATTATGGGGCGCCTTTATCGTGGAACCACCTCGGGGATGTAATCTAGAGTGAGGCATAGGTATCAGGGGTGTCCCTTTTAAGATTCCTTTTTTTGAAACTGGAATAATCTTTTTGTTTTTTAACTAATTTTGATGAAATCTTAAAAATAGCAGAGGGACGTTGTAAGATTTTCTTTATGAAAAAAAAAAATGTTATTCTTTTGATATGATGTCGCATTAGTTTTGAGTGTCCCATCAGTATCGGAATTGCCCAAGGAATCGAGGGAACCGAAAATTGTCGCGTTAAGATAATTTTGTAGAAAGTTTTGGAGCCAAATATCTACCGGCAGGAAAACAGGCGGATAGTCGATGTTTATTAAGTAGAACAAAAATTAATGAATTTAGTCCGCATATTCAAAGTGATGTCATGTCATGTTTTTCAGGAAATAATCTTATGACGTTAATGTGCTCTATTTAAAATTTCATTGAAATTGGTTAAAAGGTAAATAAGTTATTCTGCACTACTTGTGCAATTATTGCCGAGTCGACAGACCTTAAAGATGTACGTAACTGTCGAGAAAAATTCGTATAAAAAAAAAATTATATACATGTATAAACCTTCCATTTTGGGTGATTCATCAGAATGGGCCCTGAAGATCGACTCGGGATTATGCCGGAGATGCCGAGGTTTATTTTTAGCGATTTTTTTATGTTCCTGGATGGAGAAGGACATTCATCGTTCACTTTTGCATGGGTCCAGGGAGGCCGCAGTCCCTCGGGACCTCTGTCGAGATCTCGAGGGACTCCCACTTTTTCTCGAGCAGCTTCTTTTCACCAGATGACGGAGAGAGACGGACAGATGGAGGGACCCAAGGGAAGAGAGAGACGAGAAAGGAGGAGGCTCCTCGAGTATACAATATACATGAGGCACCGAAGTCGCTTCTTCAGGAGGTTCGCGCTGTCTGGGCCCATGTATTATTCCATAGAGGCTGGGTAAGGGCAGGTTTTACCAGCCTGACCAGCCGATATGAATACCAAATGAGCGAGCAGAGGTCGCGAGCTCAAAATCGGCCCGTAACTTTCGTGAGCCCGGGTCCGATTCCGCTCTTTTCGACCTCTCTTCGGCAGGAAGATTAAGCGCTCTTTCCCACTCTCTACCTCATAGAAACCCGAAGAATAGGATCCAGGGAATCTTTCTTGGCACACCTAGGATGAGGCATTTTTTCCTCTTTTTTTTAATTCTATTTCTTTAACTGTATCAGGCGGTCCGATTCTGCTCACTTCAACCTCTCTTCAAAGTTGGACCGCTGTTGGGCGGGAACGCTAAATCCTTTTTCGCTCTCTCGGAAACCCGATCTCACGGAAACTCGAAGAATAGGATCCAGGGAACCTTTCTTGGCACATCTTGGAGGAGGAATTTTTCCTCTTTTCTTTTTGCCTTTTTTTCTGTTTCTTTAATTATACCAACCCCTTGCCGTGCCGGATGAATACGAAAAGAGGCACCAGGGCTCCCAGAGCAATTCCTCCGTTCCTCCACCTTCGCCCTCCTACGATTATGACATCACCTTCACGAGGCTCCGCCCTTGAATCCGAAGAAAACGCGAACTCTCGAGCTCTCATACCATCCCTCTCGGGATATCTTAAACCCTTTCTCCGTTTCAACTACCTTGGAAATGTCTCGCCCACGAAACTTTTATTTTCCACCCTTTCATCTACTCCCATGTTTATTGTCGGTTCTTCCAGTAAAACTGTCGGCTTTATTTTCATCACGGAGGCTAGACGTTTATTTTCGAGCGTTGAATAGATGTTCTTTGAAAATCCTGCACTTGATCCGTTCTTAAATGGACACTTTTTGCGATTTATTTATAGGCAGTCCGTATTTTGTTTGCTTTGTTAAGAATAAAATATCTGGTGTTTGTTGGAAAGGTTGTTTCGATAAGGGGGTCGCTTCCGTTCCCTTTTCAGGGGCCTTTTCCGGTTCCACCTGGATTCGCACTTTTATATTCGATAATTAGGTCCATTTCGCCAGTTTTCAGAGATTTACAGCTGAAAAAACCTCCTTTCCCCCAGAAACTTGCGAATCCCTCCTCTCGCTTACTTTTCGATTAACCCTTTGAGTACGGAGTCCTTTTAACGTATGGGCGAAATTTATCAAAGCGTGCAAGCAATCTGGACCAAACGTCGGACGTATTTAAACGTCTTTGGGATGCAAAGGGTTAACCTAACGTAACCTAAAAAGACCTTCTGTATCTAGGTCCTCTTCACAGTCGGAATTGATAAAGATTCTGCACGATTGATAGAGGATTTTATATTCGGGACGTCGAGTAAACCAATGGCAGCAAGCCACTAAAAATGGTGCAAATACACGTACTCCTCGTTGTGCTCGTTAATTCCCCCTCTTTTTTCTTTTTTTTTTTTCAACGTAGATCGACTCGCAACAGTGAAAAGCCATTGGTCATGTATAACGTTCGACCGTGGAAAACGGGAGGAAAATTGCATCGTATTTCGTTAATCCTCCATTTTGGGCTGGCCTGATCTTTGCTAACGCCATCCAACGAGATTTTCATTTCACAAATTCACCGTAATCCGTCCTCTTGCATTACCGGGACCGCCAGGAATTATGTCGACCGAAACCAATTTGATGGTCACTCGCCTCTCTTCCTCCATTCCTCTTTCCTCCTCTCCGTGACTGTGCACGATAAACTGCAGAGTATACAAAATTTCGAAAAAACAGGATTTTTTTAAAAATAGGCATATTGATAATTTTTCGTTTTCTAGGGCTCGTCCTCATATCCCACTTTTAGCGTTAAAACGTCTTTTAGCCATTTCAAGACTACAGGGGAAAAAATGAATTTTAAAGCTGAAAGCAAAGCGCGAGGGCGGATGTAGGTATTTTGGTCGGAAATGGTAAAAGTAGAAAGTTCGAAAAGTCAAGTCAGGAAATGATTCGAGAGGGGAGAACTTTTTCTTGCCGGGGTCCTCGAAAATGAGGGACGATATACTTTTCAGGGTACACGGGAAAATGTAAACGCGACGGCCACCGTGTCGCAGGAAACATTCCATTAAGGAAATGAGACGAATGCCACGTTAAATTACATTTCCCAAGAGAGGAGGACAGCTTCTTTCGACTCTTCTTCAACCCTCTGGGCTCCGCCGAGACGGACTTACGCCCTGAAGAGACGAAAACCTATTCGGAAATCTACTCCCCAAGATTTCCGCGCTTTTCCTTCGCAGGCCAATTTCTGAATTAATAGTCGAACGAAACTCTTCCCGACGGGTTTACTTGGTAAACAGATGAAAATTTGCTTGAAATCCTACCAGTTACTAAGTCCAATGTATACACGAATAATGAAAAGAAAATGGATTGACGTGGGCAACCTTTTTCAGAGGGGCCTTCCGTATATATTTCCTTTCTTGATCTCATATCATACCGATAGCACCAATCTCATGAAAACCACCTACTAAATAAGTATCGATCTTCAACATTTGAAATTAATTTACATGGATTTTGGATAAATAAATAATTGCTCGTGAACGGGTTAACACGGTTTGACATTAATAAGACAGGGTGTAACAATGATATTGAAGGGTATTTGTTATTCACGCTTCTGGAAAGAGCGCCTCAGAAACTCCTACTTCTGAATGTTGCGGTTCTCCTTAACAAACCAATTTCTAAATTAACAGTCGAGCGAAATTTTTCCCGACAGATTTCCCCGTTAAACAGATGGAATCTTGCTTGGAATCCTCCCAGATACTCGGTCTAATGTATACACGAATAATGGAAAGAAAAATGGAGATGGAAGGATCGAAGTGAGCAACTACTTCCAGAGGGACCTTCTATCAATATTTCCTTTCCTGATCTCATCTCATACCGACGGGTACCGATATCATGAAAATCTCATTTCTAAATACGATCTACTCTTCTACATTTGAAAATAATTTCCACGGAATTTAGACGGATAAACTGTTGATCTCGATTAGGCCAACGCGGTTTGACGTTGAAGAGATGGGACTTAACACCTGGGGTTAGAGGGCTGTTATTTTTTTTTAACCACCCTCTGCAGGGTTCTTCCTCGTAAAACCAGGATTGTAAACCTAATTGTACCGCTGTTTAATTAGTCGTTTAGTTCTTTTTCGGTAGTCTTTCTTCCGGGTTCACTGAGAGGTTCATCATGGCGTCTCCCAACCTAGGGTTCGCGATTATTAGGTTCGTCATAAGCTCTCCCAATTTCTGCGGAGTTCCTCGGAAACATCTTCGAGGCTCGTTTGGGCCAGAAGACGTTCTCGATGCGTCGACGGCGTCGATGACGACGAGCGTGACTCGTCGAGGAGTGCGTTAACGTAATTATAGACATTAGACGTATCGACGGAGCAAGTATATACCACGTTTACGTTCATATGACTCCTTGTACGTTCCCTCGAGAGAGGGAGAGAGAGCACCTCTCGTTGACGAGCGTTAAGTACTCGTTACGTCGATAAGGGTTGCAGTTTAGGATCTGTTTATCGACTAAAGAAAAATGGAAGTTGGTCGCAGTAATTTCTACCTAGCGGTGGAGAGCCTCAAATAATGGATTTTGAGTATCTAATAGGTTCGTAATTACTTTTATAATAAGTATGTTTATTGAAATTTTCCTATAATAAATACCTTTTGCTGGTAATATTAGCAGTGATTACTAGATAAAAATAAGTGCCCCGTTTATTCTCATATGATTCATTGTACATTCCCTCGAGAGGGAGAGAGGAGAGTCCTTTGCTGAAGAGCGTGACATATTTTTTCCCTCAATCAGATTCGCGGTTGAGAAACTATCAGATAATGGACTTCAAGTTGTAAGATCGGCATGACAACGATTGTAATTATTTAAAATTTACTCGCAAAAAATATCTCTCGTTTGGTAATTTTGATAATCGACGTTAAATAATATGATATATCACAGATAAAGAGAGGGCGAGTATCTCTCGTTGAAGAGCGTCAAGCACTCGGTACACCGATAAGGGTCATTTAAAATTCAATTATCGGCTAAAGAAAAGTGGACAATGAGCATCGTCATTCTTGGCTTACGAAAGTAGTCGAATGGGTTATAGACGACTATTCCGATACTACGTAACAACCGTTTAAATTACTTTAATTATTTCAATAGATACTTCGTTTAGTGATTTTGGTTGAATTAACACGTTGAAGTACCGCGTTTAAAATAGCGCACTCATAAGCTGTTCCGGCACTCAGCGTGTTAATTTCTGGACTGGCATATGATTGTCATATTCGTTGATCCCATATCCGACACATATGTCAGTCCAGATCCTCGTGTGATCCCATGATGTAGTCCGACTCCCCCTAGGGTGCTTCAAGTACCAATTACTCCGTAAAGGGCAGCTGTTTACGGTGCGATTGCGTATGGAGGGAAATTACGCGGTGTACCGTCTGATCAATCGTCGTTCGGTGATATCGGCAGACTCTACTCGTTTCTCTTCCGAGTGTGCTCAAGAGAATTCCTTTTTCTTGGCCTGTTTCAGTTGGATAGGTTCAAAGAGCCACCGGCGTTCGGTCCTATGTGCGATCTTCTCTGGTCGGATCCCCTCGAGGACTTTGGCAACGAGAAGAATGCCGAGCACTTTTCTCACAACAGTGTTCGGGGTTGTTCGTATTTCTACAGGTAAGTGGTAGAACAATTTCCTGATAGTAATTGAAGGTACAGGAAAAAAGGAATAATTAAGGGTCGGATGCACCAACCGTGATTATCCTGAAGTTTCTTACTTATGATTAAATAATTAATTTCGGACTAGTGGCATTTGTGTTGCACCGTCCGAAATTAGGCTAACCGGAGATTAAGATCCCATGTTAGGTAAACACCCTAAATAAATGAATTCTAATCACTCGTTAAGTAATCCTTGATCAAGGATTTTCACTTGAAAATTGGTGCTACCGGCCCTATGGTTATGATTAGAATGAGAAATTTTATCGCCTTGAGATTTTCGCGACCAATATGTTTGTGATTGATTATGGAAATATAGGCTTAAGTATATTTCGTTTACGTGCAATGTTAATAATATCTGCGCGAAATGTGGTATACGTGAAGTCGAATTTTTTTTTTCAAGATATAGTTTTTCAAAGTTTCTTTTATGGAAATGCGTTCGAGATTTTAGTATACAAGTATACGAATCTCAGAGGGCATGTATACTAAATTTCGAAATCCTTTGTGTACCAGTTGTCGATCACGTATCATATACAACTGCATGTATTTTGAGAAAAGCGCGTTGTAGGATAGTTAATAACATTTCTACCGATTTCTTTTCTCTTATCAGTGTTTTATTCCACATTTTGAATACTTTTGTCCGAATTCACACGTAGAGATGATATTCTTCGAAATGTAGTGCACATTCGTAGAAACGTCTTTAACGGGTATATATTACAGTATACGAGACGTAAATTTTTGTATTTGCTCGTTTACATATGTGCCCATAATTATGAAAGTGATCTAAGTCATATATTTTTTGTTTCGAAATTACATTGAATTAATTTCGTTTGCAATAATATGGCGTGAAATAACTGATAAACTCATTTTTTTTTTAATTTTGACTTAGACCACTTTCATAATTATGGGCACATATGTCCCTGCAGTCGAGAGAACAACTTCTTGCCCCAGGAAGCGGAGAATCGGTCAATTAAAATTGCTCCCAAAAGTAAAGCCGCGAGTGACTCTTGCTAAACGCTTTGTCGGCAAACTTAAAGACGCTTCCAATACGCATCGATCACCCCCTCGACTCTCGATCGGTCGTCGGACTTCCGCCAAAGTTCGTCCCCTGATAAGAGGAACCCATGACGTTACTTTATAACTTTGATCGCTGCTTTTTATCAGAGAAAAGTTTCCCGAGGAATACCTCGGTCTACAATAAAGCGCTTTCGTCCGCAACGTCGCACTTGAAAATGCAAAAGTAAAATATATCAACGTACCATGCAACCCCTTTCGCCTCTCTTCGCCGGTTTCCGACAATTCTCGAATAATGACAAACTAAATTAAAAAAAAAAAAAAAAAACACCGTACAGAAAACTATTTTTGGGAACGCATTTTGGATTCAGGAAAGATATTTATCATATCCGCAGTCATTTCTTCATAATTTCAAAGTAATTTCGTAATAACATCGCAATAAAATCGCGGTGACTTCGAAGGAGTTATCCGAAGAGAGAAGTCGCGGACTCGAGCGACCGGGAAACAATTGCACTCCGATAATTCGTTTGCAGGTGAATTTTTCCTGGGACAAAGTTAAGTTCTTCGAGAGCAGGGTCGGGGCTTCCAGGATTGCGAGGTTGCTCCCGAGGTCTCTTTAGGAGGGCAAAAGAGACGTCTTTTTCTCGCGTCCATTAAGCCCTCGCTTTCTCTCCTTTAAGTCCTCGGCCCCTCGGGGAAAGCTCCCCTCGGGTCGAGTGCAATTCGAAATTTCGACTTTGGCTTCGCCGGGGTTCGACCGGAGCTCTGACGCAACCCGTTGACCTCTTTCGAACCCTTTGGCCTCGCCTCGAAGGAGCTTCCCGAGGTCGAGGCACGTCCTTAATCCCGAGGAAGCGTCGCCGAGGGCTTTTCGCAGTCCAATTTCGCGGGAGAGTCCTTAGGTCCGCAAACCGCGGACTTATCGGCCCCGGTCGATCCGCCTTGCGGCTTCCTTCCTCCTTTGCGAAGGATTAGCGAGGATATCGGTCGGGTATTAGCGACACCTGCTGCTCGACGCCTTGCCCTGCTCCAATTTCGCTTCTTTTCCGATACCGTCGCTCGATTTCGCAGACACGCCGGACTAGAAATTACCCCATAACGCGAAACCCCTCGTTTCGGATATCTGAGGGATACCTACATCTCCGGAAAGAAATTTTCTGCGATTTACCCAGGATGTATTTTGATCCCCCTGCCCGTTTATTTACAATCCGAAACCGCCACAAGAAATTCCGAGGGAGACCGGATAGTGCGGTGGATCTCGTTGAACCTTATTTCTCGAATTACGTCCCGAGTGAACCGGAGAGCTTCCACGTTGTCGATAATGCGGACCCAGGGAAGAAAGCTCGATGAACGGTCGCGGAAGAAACGCCTTTGACTCGTAGGCAAAAGCTCGAGGATCTTCCCGAGGGGTATCGAGGTCCTAAAGAGACGCGAGATGATGACGAGCTTTTATTTATGTCTTCGCTCCCCGGGTCTTCAAAAGCTCTTCGGTCTGCCCATCGTGCGGTCTGATGAGTCAAACACGGGGGAGCTTTCGCAATTTTCTTCGGCTTCCTGTGATCGTCCTGCAAGCGCCGCTCCGAAGAAAAACCACCTCGAAAGCTTCTCTGAATTATCGGGGAATTCCTTTCAAGGAAAAAAGGCACTTGTCTGGCCTGGGATCTTGTAAATGTTTGGCGTGCCGACGTTTGCCGTCAGATCGATGGATGGAGAAGGAGCTTTCGAAGTTCGTTAATGTTTCGTCTATGAAAAGAATTATGCACGAATAGGGTCTAAGCTCCTCTTTCCCAGGAAAAAGAATGGTTCTTTTGTCATTTTTTGGATTTAACATATTTGATTTGCTCGCATGTATCTCAAAGCTCCATAAATGAAGTGCAAGGGAGCTTCCACAATTTTCTCCAACACCTTGCGATCGACCTGTAAGCATCTTTTTAGGGAAAAGAACCTTGAGTGTTTTCCTAATTATCGGAGAATTTCTTCTAAGGAAAAAAGAGACTCATTTGGTCTGTGATCTTGTAAATATTTCACATTCCGGAATTCGTCACGAGACTAATGAAACGCGAAGACACTTTTGAAGTTCCTTAAGATTTCCTCTTCGCAGCTATTCCGCACGGAGAGTTCCGAAAAGCTCCTCTGCATTTTCGACAGAGATCTTAGGAGAAGAATGACGGCTCTCTCGAATGACGGCTTTTCGTAGTTAACATCTATGATGCGCTCGCATTTGTCAGGAACCTTGACGAGTGAAACGCGAGAGAGCTTTCAGGGTTCCCTTTATCGTTTTCGAATCGCCTGGAAAAAGCTCTTCCGTATGCAGAATGCCTTGAGACCTTCCTCGGAATTTCGGCAAAATTGCGGGAAAACCGAGGAAGCTTTTTTCGTTTCCATGCTTAAAATTCTCGACTTGGAGATACTCAGGATTTTCTGAAAATCTTTCAAAAGGGGGAAGTCCTTTCTTCGAAGTGGTTTCGAGGCGTCTTCTAATTCTTTTACGAAGCCAGCGTCGAAGGGAAACCCAGAGGAAGAATCCACCTCCGCTTCGCTGACTCCGGGTCGGCCATCTCGACGAATCATCCTTAATTTCAGTAAGAAAAGAAAGCGAAAGCTCGGCGGGAAATCTCAAAGAAGCGTTTCCCCACCCCGTGTCAAGGTCTACAAAAGTGCTGCGATATTTCACGTGTCTTCGCCCTCTCGATTCTCGAAAGCTCTTTGATCCTGGAATCTGATGAGTCAAACGCGACGGAGCTTCCACGGTTTCCTTTAACGTCTCCTAATCGCCCCTGAGAAGCTGTCTCTCGCACGGAAGCTGCCTAGGAGCTTTCCCGGAATTCCGAATAATTCCCCGAAGGAGAAGAAGTCTTTTCCGGCTCCGTTTTTTGCATCACCGGGGCTTTTCATCACCGTGGGGTGAAAATAGCAGGCATTAATGAGCATTTATTCCCGTCTGCGCCCTTCCGGAGCTTAAAAACGAACCCTTAATTACCTCCTATAAATAACGCCGGAAAATAATATTTCCCCGTTAATTTGGCTGGAAATTATTTCCCAACGGCCAGGTAGAAGAGATGAAAATGAAACGTGCTTTTCTCTAACGTGGTGTTTCTTTCGCGTCCTGATTGGCAGATACGCCAGACTCCCCTGCAAGCTCCGGGAAATTCAAGCGCGGAAAGATTCCAGGGAGTGTACGAAGAGAGTACGCATGCTCTTAACGAAACGCAATCGCGGCAATTAAGCGCGGACGAGGTCGAGTCCTGTCGGCCATTGATTTTCGCGAAATTGCAGGTCCCGGGCTCGAATTTCCGGCGCTTTGAGTGCCCGGTAAAGGCGCGCTCGCGACTCGAACTCCTGGAATCGGCGAGCTCCGCGATGTCGCGCGGTAATTCTCGCCTCGTGCAAACAGGCCTTAAGGCTTGCGGCCTTGCCTAGCCTTGGCCCGCAACGATGACATGAATTATTCGCCAACTGCTCGCGGCCCTGCTCATTTGTCGACATGCAAAACCGCCCAGATATCGTGCCTTGAGTTTCGACTCCGATGAGGACCCCTTTGACGAGTCCAGCTTTGGCCACTTTCAGCCAATCGCGACCAGACTGTCAGCCGCTTTTTTAAGGCGAAGTGAAACCCGTCTCGGATCAGTCGATTCGAATAAGACACATTTGTCAAAGGGTATTCCCCCATAACTAGATGAAATTTTAGCACATTATTTGTGTGCATCTAAAGAAAGTCCAGACTCTTTCGAAATTTTGATTGTTAAAAAAGATCCTTTTCGCTTAGCCGGGACTAGAAGTAAAGTGGCGTTGTTCCTTGCGTTTCGACTCCGACGAGAACCCCTTTGACAAGTCCGACTCCCATATGAGCCGCTCAGTGCACACGTCGACTAACTCCACTTTTTGAAAAATCTTAAATTTAGGTGTCAAATCACTTGGTATAGTCATAACTTTTTATATTTATAATA